TGGGACATATGGTCCTATGCACTATTACTATAATACTATAGACTCGAATGCACGTATATTCCCTAAAAGGTATTAGTCTGTTACAGGCCTACTCACTACTCACTATTCACTCTGTAAATGACGTCAATTCATACATTATGGACATAGAAGTAGAACAAAGAGAGACCCCACGTGAAAAATGTTACGAACTAGTAAAAAAAAACAATTACAGTAACTGTAAAAATTGTATCTATAAATGTATACACAAGGCAGTACTCAAGAGCACACAAAACTCGAACTCTCTAGTAAGAATATTTTCAACAATGACTCCAAACAAGCTTGTGTTCTTCTTCTTAGCTTGCCTCCTAATGTTCACATTCTCAGACGACAACCTCGTGGCTGGAGATTCTGACAAAGTGAAGCTCAATCTTTACTACGAATCACTTTGTCCCGGTTGTCAAGAATTCATCGTCGATGGTCTTGTGAAAGTCTTTGACTCCGATCTCCACACAATCACCGATCTTACCCTCGTTCCTTTTGGTAACGCTAAAATCTCCGATAATTTAACCGTCGCTTGCCAGGTTATTTTCAATCTATCCTCCTTGTGTTTTTGTTTAAGTTAGTTAGCCAAATTTTCCCAATGTTTTGATATTAAATTTTCTAGAAATGATCTCTACGATTTTTTTTTAAGGATTACTCTCCAAAAACTATCCATTATCCACTTTCTTGTTGATTACTTGTATTAATCTCCACTATAATTTAGATAATTTTTATGTTTATTTTATACTCATGTCTAATTAATTATGTTTTGGGAAACTTTTGTGAAGCATGGAGAAGAGGAATGTAAGCTAAACGCTATTGAAGCTTGCGCCATAAACACTTGGCCCGATCAGGTGCATTTATTTACTATATTTAGTTTTTTTTTTTCAATTTAGGCAAAATGATTGTTCGAAGTACATTTGTAAAATGTGATGTTTTTATTGGAACGTAGAAAAAGCACTACTCGTTCATACGATGCGTTGAAAAGGACACGGAAAACTGGGAAACATGTGTGGATTCAAGAAGTGAGAAAGCCATCAAAGATTGTTACAACAGTGATCTCTCTAAAAAGGTATACATAAAACACTCATAATATATACAGATTGTACAATTACTACATAACCCTATTATAACCATTTTTATTATTGGTTATATATATTGTAGCTCATACTTGAGAATGCAAACTTGACGATGAGTTTGAAACCGCAACATATGTATGTACCATGGGTCACGCTCAACGAGAAGCCACTCAATGAAGTATAATTAACTCATCTTTTTCATGAAAAGTCTTACTCAATATTATTTACATTTTCAATGAAATAAAAGTGTAATTTTTTTGATTTTGGCAATGTAGGAGATTGGTGATTTTGTGGCGAAAATCTGCAAAGCGTACAAAGGAAAGACTGCTCTACCAAAAGTCTGCAATTCCTCTGCCTTGTCTAAGAAGAAAGTGTCAAAGCTTCAAGTCTCTTATGCCAATGAAGCTATCAATTGATTATCAAAGTACTTTATTGCACTAAGATGCATTTAAGCTTCATGTTATAAGAAAAATGATAAATAAAATAACTATTTTCTAAACTTTTATGTTTTAGCGTTGACTGATGATGAACCTACTGATTGTTCTATTAAATACTTAAAAATCCTAAATTTAACATATTCCATTTCTACAAATACTAACATGACGCCTAAAAATCAAAGCAAGTGTAATCTCTACGATAATTTCAAGGATTATTCTCCCAAAAATATTATATCTGCCCATTTAAACTCTAGAAATCCACTTATATCCCTTAGATTATTTTAACTTTCGATCTAGAACATTTTACCCAAAAAAAAAAAAAACTTTCGATCTAGAATATTAATGGATCGTTTTAATTTTTCACAATATGTATTTGGAGTTGTCTTTGTTATCTCTCCTTTGTTCCTCTTTTCTAAAGCTTCGGTTCATGTACTTTGTTCACCTAGGAAAAAATCCGTTACAAATTAGTCATAAATAAGAATTTTCAGATAAAAATAGCTAACCTTTCAATTCATTTGATTCGTTACACTATAAATTATGAACTCCAAATTTTCGTATTTTGCAAGAATGATAATTAATGAAAACCAAAATTCAATGAAATCAACTTCTTTACGCCACAAAGATTCTTACCAAGTTATGTGTTTCAAGGGCAATTCTCAACTTATTCTGAGGATTATAGTTGTTTCGCACACTAACTAAACTTAAAAGACAACAATGTAGTGATGTACCGAGGTACTGGCCTAAAAATTTCCCAAAGTTCTTCAACATTAATGTGGATACTGGAATTTGGGAAGAAATGACGAAACTCTCTTAGCTAGAATAGTTTCCCATAGTTCTTCAACGTTGATTTACTTATCCAGTACACCTAGCCATGCTATTATAACTTTGATCTATCACTCTGCTATATTTATCGAAACTTATATATATCATTTATTATAAGTTTTTACATATTTTGCTAAGCATATATAGTATCCACTTTAATGCTGAAGAACTTTAAGGTTGAAGAAGCCTCTCACAGAATATTAAACGCTTTGGTCTCAACTCATCAAATTAATGGCAAAGACTCCTTCTATAACAGAGTCTTTGACTTTAACTCATCAAAGATCAAATAGGCAACGACTCAAGCCCAGACATGCCAGCTTCTTCTTTCCCGTTGCAGAAAAGGCAAAACATATAGTTTAATTTTTCTTATCACACTTAAAAAAAAAATTACGCGTTTTTTTGTATCATCCATGAAAAGGTAAATATGTAAAAAATGAAACTACCTGCTGATTTGAATGTTATATTTCCATGTGATTTGCATGCAACAATTTTTCTAACTCTTTTTGTAACTATAGTACTAATGTGAATGTTATGTCTACAATAGCCGAAAAGAGGTTTAAACCCCATAAATTTATATCATCTAACACAACTCTAGTGTTTGGAGACTTCTTTATGAAAGCTCCAAAAAACGTGGTTCGAATTGCAATTTCAAATCAGAAGAAGTATATGTAGATTTCCACACCTTTGATACTTGGAAGAGGTTTCTTAGCTATTGTGGAGGCTATCATTGACTTCATACACCATAAGATATCCTTTAAAAGGATCGATAGAGAAATTTTTTACCATGCAGTTTTTTTTAATGACTTTCATGCACAGAAACAATTGACATTAGAAAAATATGGTTTTAGACTCTGGAGATAAGATAAGGATTCAAAAAGCTGCCAAAAAAGAAGTTAATGTGATCAAAGATGTTGACAAAAAAATAGTGCCATCTTATTCCGCAATTGGCTCTTCTCATCTAGCGACAATTGCTGTACATGTGTTCTTATGAAATCCATGAATCAAATGCTTCATGCGACCCTTTTAGTGTCCAAAATTTCCTTCATCTAACATAACATGTTTTTGGACAGCTATGAGTTCCTTCATTATCTACAAATTCCTCACAGGATCTCAACATGTTAAACATAGCGTGTGTAACACAAGGTAAATCTCAGCAACAACGTTTGCTTTATTAAAAAACACATAAACAAACTTTACAAGACTTATTTAATTAGAAGTGCTCGATCTCACAATGATTCAAGACTGACCATTTCTTAGTCTACCCAATTCTTACAACATAACAATATTTGTGAAACACTCAACAGAATGATACAATGAAGTTTCAGAACAAAATAGCCTGCGGTTAAGTTAGGATAGTAGTGGCAAATAAAGACATGCATTTGAAGATTATCCCAATATACCTCATAAAATTTGACACATTGGCCTTAGGCCCCGAATAATATTGTGAAATTTTTGGTCCCAAATGATAGATAAATATTTAGGCAAAAGGATAAATACTATATACTAGATTTTGACCCACGCCAAGCGTAGGATTAAATGATGAAATATATTTTAATCTATTTTAGTATGTAAATGTGTCTGACAAATCATATGATTTCTAATATTTATAACTTACAAAATGATATGCATTGTGCATAAATATAATCAAGTTAAATTTTGACCAAGCATATTTTGATACCATCAGTTTAATATTTTTATGTGCAATTGATCGAAACATATGCAAATGTTATTTTTATCAATATATTTTAAGTGTAAAATTAATTTTTATTATTCGTGTAAATTATAGAGCATGCGATAAATTAGATAAATTTTAGATTTATATGAATTTGTCGGACATAATTAACGAAAAGTAATATATATTTTCCAATAATAAAATATTTAAATATTTTTATATATAATATTAATCTAAATACATATATACAAAATAAATAATATTGTCACAAATATAATAATAAAAAGTTTTTAAAATATAAAAGATTTTTTAAAAATAGATGATATGGTAAGTCTAAATATTATATTTAGTTGGACTTAAATTTGCAAAAGATGTATAAATGGGCTTATGCTATAAAATTATTAAGAATATGTAGAATTAATTGAAATGTTTTCATTGGTTAATTTAAATGATATGTTCCTTGTAACCCTCGTTGAATGACACATAGGACTTTCACCTTAGTGTCTCTTCAATTACTATATAGAGGATTATATTATTTTTATAGTAATTTACTTCAACACCATTAACCATCTTATATTTTCTTTCGGGCAAGGAGTTTTTTTTTAGAAATTTCAAAAAATGCTATTTTTCAAGTGTCACTTTACAAAAATGCCACATTTTTACAATCTTTGCAAAAATATCACTTTTTCAAAATTATTTATTCAATATATCATTTATATTTGGATTAACTATGTTGTATTAGGGTTTAGTTTTGAGGGTTTAAGGGGTTTTAGGGATCAAAAGATTTTTTAGGGTTTAGAATTTTAAGATTTAGGCTCTAAAAAATCATAATTAGT